GTGTGCGCCGCAGCAGCGCGGGAGCCGGAACGATGCCGGACAAACCGCGGTGTCAGCACAGACTCAACAGGAGCTGGAGCTGAAAAGATTTCAGGGTGAATCCAGTCCAACTCCTGCCATAAAGTACAGAAATACTGCTCAGGGAATTAACCTGGGTACGTGTCCTGGATCCAGGACCTGCCTCAGGGCTTTTGGTGCTCGGAGTATTTCACATAGAGGAAACAAACGCATTTGAGTAAAAATAAACAAGGTGATTGTGTATTAGTGCCGGAAGATGGGCTGCGCCTTTCCAGTCGGGGAACGTCCAGCGGAAAATCACGTCCAGCGGAAAATTACCTCCAGCTTCATTTATTCAGGAAAAACAAAAATAAAATTTATCAGCTCCTGCAGCTCTAGCCGCTGTAGGTAATAAATTTACAATAAATGGGCAAGCATTCCCACATGAAGCAGCCGCCCTCATCCTCCCRGCGAAACACGCAAAAGGGCACAACAGCCAAGCACGACACCCCCGCTGCCGGCCCGGACACCGCCCGGGCGGTGCCAGCGATGGCTCAGCGCTCCCGGCCCGGCCCCGATGTCGCGACATCCCGCGCGGGACGCGGTGACCGGAGCGCCCCGGCGGCGGCGTCACCCTGAACTGGGCCGCACCACAGCCGCACCACAGCCGCGCCGCGCGCCCCAGATCCCTCCGCGGCCGYAACCGAACGCGCGCGCTGACCGGGAAATCCCGCCCCCCGCGGGCGCCGCGGCTCCTGATTGGCTCGCGGGGTTTGAGTGGCAGCGGCGCCTCAGGGGCCGCGCCCGCCATGTTGTGTGGGGAGCGGGGAGCGGCCGCGGACACGGAGTCACGGAACCCCAGAGGGTGGAAAAAAACTCCTGGATCATCGAGTGCAAGCTGTAAGGGATCCCTACTTTGTCACCAGCCCAGAGCACTGWGTGCCGCCTCCAGTCCTTCCTCGGACACCTCCAGGGATGGGCACTCCAAACCTCCCTGGGCAGCCCCTGCCAAGGCCTGACCACTCTTTCCATGGGGAAAATTGCTGCTGATGTCCAACCTGACTCTCCCCTGGCACAGCCCGAGGCCGTTCCCAGGCTCAGCCCCATTCCCAGCCCCCTCAGCCACTTTGGGGCTCCAGCCCCTTCCCCAGCTCCCTCAGGATCCATGGGATCAGCCGTGTGGAGAAGGCCGAGGTGCTCTTCCTCTTCTCAGGGTGTGGAGCAGTGCCTTATTTTGTGTAATGGTTACAGTCATTAATAAACTTACCTGGTTTTACAAACTGCRGTATGTTTGATTTACACGCTTCTTTTCCAATTATAGTTTGGGACTCGACAGTCTGTAACTATCACCAAAATAGTAGGTTTTTATGGAAATAAAGCATTTAATTGGTMGCTGTTACATGCGCAGACTCATGASTCAGCAGGGATTCTGGTTATTTGGAAAGGATATTCTTTATTACCCAGTTATTTGGAATAGTTCACCCCATTTTCCTGGCCCTTTGACAAGCTCCCCTCCT